GCAAGCTCTTCTGGCGAGGTGAAAAAGCTGCAAGAGCTGGAGCTGAAAGTTGATAAGTGGGCGCAAGACCCTGGCGTGCAGCAGCTTGCTGCAGGGTCTTCGCGCGCGCTCTTCGCTTTTCCATCCATGCCAGAGGTGTCAGACGGGCCTGCTAGGAGAGGCGAAGCCAATTCTCTAAGGCGAGTTGGGCAAAAGGTTGTCATTGCCAGCAGCCAGGCCTCGGACCGCCGTCTATGGCAAAACATGATTGCCGGCAACACCTGCTATGTCGCGAAAGGTCAGTCTTTGAAGCCAGGTCAGAGGAGCCAGCTCTCCAGTTGCGCTGCGTACTTGTTCCTGGCCAGACAACTTCTGCACGGTCTGCAGACACACGACGAGCTGTGGAAGACTGCCCTGCGCGAACTTGCCAGAGCCTTCGGACCATACCTTTGGGGTCTTCAGCCAGGCGCTGTGCGACATTTGGTGAATCCGCCAGAGGAGATGTTTGCACAGCCATCTGAGCCAGAGCTGCAGGAGCAGTTCCTTGTGTTTCGCAATGTGGCCGTCCGGATTTCGAGCGCCGCCTGTGCGGCGGAGAAGTTCCAGAAGTCAGAGGTTCTCAAATGGGATGAGCATCTGCATAGTCTGATCGTGCAGCAGAGTTACACGCAAGCCAGACATTACTGGCATGTGCTGAGGCTTTTTCACAGATTGCACGTGTGGGGCTTTGCGTCAGAAGCAATCTGCGAATCAGCGGTTTCCATCATGCGCTACCTGGAGAAGAAGCACTCTGTCGGACGACCTCTGCGGACCGCTCCCTTGGTGGAGGCAGCGCTGCTTCGCTTCTACGGGGTGGACGGTCGGCCTGAGTCGTGGCCTTTCTTGCTGAAGGTCCTGTCAGAATACTTCCGGAAGCGAGGCAAAGGGCAGCTGCGCTTCTTTGTCTCCCGCCGGACAACGGCGGCGCGCTCTGGTCTCGGGCCGAGCGCAGTGCTGCACAGGCACCGTCAGAAGGCGGAGTCCATGACCAAGTCATGGATGATGTCTCCAGTTGCAGTCAGGCCTTCCAAGCTGCTGTCCAAGGACGCTCTGAAAGCTTTGCGCCAGACTGATGCCAGAGAGCCTGATGACTTCTACGCTGCATTGTGGGATTGTGTTTTGCCGGCGTTGGCCAGCGCAGGAGTCAGAGTGGAGTTTGACGAGTGAAAAGCATTCCGTGCTCAACGAAGCCTTTCGGAATTGGATTTGCCCTTTGAGTTTTTGAGGCGCACTCGGACTCGTGTCAAAAGCCCATAAACCAAGAGGCCCCAGCTGGGAGTCTAGGTGTCCACCAAAGGCGGGAGAAGGAGGGGTCTATTTAGCTTGTGCTGGGCATCCTAGTGGGCTTTCTGTTCATGAATTCCTCACGGCTGAAGCTTGCGCGCGCATCATACCAGGTACGTCAAAGCAGATGCCAAGAAATGGCGCCCGATGATGCGAGCCTTACTTGACGCAAGCCCAGGCCCGCTCCAGCTGTTTCTGCGTTCTGGCGCCAATCAGAGGGGGTTTCTTTGTGCATGCACAGATCCACAAAAGAGGGGAACGGGGCTCAAGCCATCTCTAAGGGTTTTTTTGAGAAGTGCGCGAAGTGCGCGCAGGTGGAGCCGCCGCTCTCAGTCTGACGCAGTTGCCTCGCCAGAAAAAACGCTGACTGCTCAGGGTTGAAAGGGCTTGGGGTGAAGTACCCTTTTCACATTGGTATCAAGGGAACCCACAAGGAACACGACCATATTTTGTTGGGCTCCCCAAATGGACACATACCCAAAGGAGGAACAGGAGAACCAGGATGCTGGCTTGGAGAAGCCAAGGAGACAACATCTAAAATTCCAATGACATGGGCGGCGCGAGCCCCAATTACCACAAAAACACACTGGTCCATTGCGAGGGTTGCATTTTGAGAGATGGGTTTCCAGAATGTTGTGGGGACGAAGGAATCTCCTGCGCGCGCAGGGAGTATGGTATCAAGTATCAAGTGTCAGGCATTCGGCGTCCGTTTCTTGACCATCCCAAAAGCGTCCCCAAAAATCGATGTGGTTGTCTTAAACTTGGGCCCCCCAAACAAGGCCCCGGTTTTCCCTTAAATGTGTTCCCTTCTAACCCACCCTAAAAGACCTAAGTTCTTACATGCCTTGAACTGCACATGTGTAATTGTTTTATCTATATACGCACGCTAGTTTGTATGTGTGTATGTGCGTGTGAATGTATGTATGTATGTATGTATGTGTGTGTATGTGTGTATGTCTGTCTGTCTGTCTGTCTGTCTGTCTGTCTGTCTGTCTGTCTGTCTGTCTGTCTGTCTGTCTGTCTGTCTGTCTGTCTGTCTGTCTGTCTGTCTGTCTGTCTGTCTGTCTGTCTGTCTGTCTGTCTGTCTGTCTGTCTGTCTGTCTGTCTGTCTGTCTGTCTGTCTGTCTGTCTGTCTGTCTGTCTGTCTGTCTGTCTGTCTGTCTGTCTGTCTGTCTGTCTGTCTGTCTGTCTGTCTGTCTGTCTGTCTGTCTGTCTGTCTGTCTGTGTCTGTCTGTCTGTCTGTCTGTGTCTGTCTGTCTGTCTGTCTGTCTGTCTGTCTGTCTGTCTGTCTGTCTGTCTGTCTGTCTGTCTGTCTGTCTGTCTGTCTGTCTGTCTGTCTGTCTGTCTGTCTGTCTGTCTGTCTGTCTGTCTGTCTGTCTGTCTCTATGTATGTGTGTATGTATGTATGTATGTATGTATGTATGTATATATATATGTATGCATTTAGCTAGCAACCTGTTTTGATATGCATACACATGTGCTCTTTGATTTTGTTTTTACACTGGCGAAAAGTAGGAACCCGTAATGTAATGTAATGTAATGTAATGTAATGTAATGTAATGTAATGTAATGTAATGTAATGTAATGTACGTATGCATTTCTTTACATGTTTATTTATCTATCTATGTCTCTATCCATTTCGTACATATTTTGTTTGGGAGGCCTTTCTGTGAAGGAAAGCCAGACGGGGGGGGGGGTGAGTTCCACTGCCCATGTCACGCAAGTGGCTCTGAGGATTTCAGGGCAAGAAAGGCTGTTGAAAGCGGAGTGTACCTGAGACGTTCCACGTTCTCAGCTAGAACATTTGTTCCGACGGGGACACATGCGCAACCATGCTTTTCGGGGGTGAACCGTCCTGGCTTCGGCATCGAATTTCCACTGGTACCGGCAAGACGCCGAAGAAACACCATTTGTTGTCTCGCTTATGGATGGACAAGTTATGGGGAGGGAATTGCAATTGACCCCTGTGACAGAATGCATACCATCTTCTAGCTTGGAGTTCAACACGCTTGGTCGACCACAGTTTTATGTTAGCCAAACTCGGTTCCTACCTATGAAGGTGGACTGACCATGTAATCCACGGACCATGGTTAAAGAGGGGTGGGATGTGTGTAAAGCCACTGACACGATCGAGGACGCCATTCTGGGGACCACCGACACCCGGGAGTTTGTGGTCTACGACACTGCGCAGATCTATCCGGAGTACATCCTGCTTCTTGCGGGAAGAGGGGAACGGGCATTGTGTGGCGACGCATCGTTTGCGATGTATTTGTATATGTACTTGCATGTTTCTTGCAGTTGTTTTTGTGGACGCAACTTGTCCCGATGATTCCATCATGCTATACGTGCGTCCTGTGTCACATGTGCATGTAACACGCATAAGCACGCAGATGGTTGTGCGAACGTTCATTACCCTTCCCCCCCGAAACCACTACCCTGGAGGGGACATTTGCGATATGGCGGCCCAGGCACACACCCATACACAAATATACATCTATGCAGAAACATGTGTGTGCGTGTGCGTGTGCGTGTGTGTGTGCGCGTGTGCGTGTGCGTGTGCGTGTGCGTGTGCGTGTGCGTGTGCGTGTGCGTGTGCTTGTGCTTGTGCGTGTGCGTGCGCGCGCGTGTGTGTGTGTGTGTGTGTGTGTGTGTGTGTGTGCGTGTGTTATACTTGTTTAGCTACACACTCATGTGTGTATGATGTTTGCGTCTTTGTCATGAATCGATAGATGAGTCTATCAAAGCGAATGTGCGAATATGTCTGTTTTTATGTATACAATCGCTCTCTCTCTCTCTCTACATTTATATCCGTATATGTTTATATTTATATATATATATATGTATAGATAGATTCCCCCCGTCCCCCGTGCTTTGCATGGGGGTAGCCTGTGGTTTGGGAGTGAAACCTCCCTGTTTTGCGAGCAGCGGTTTGAACCAGCTCGTGGTCAAGCTTAGGCCACCCAGACTGACTGGGGACCTTCTTTCGGTTTGAAGGTAAAACGAGGCATTCGCGCCAGCTGAAAGATCACTTTTGCCAACCTTCTTTAAAGCAACGCCTTGCAGGTGCCCAAGAAGGCCCAGGTGAGCCACTCACCTCGGCCTAGTTGAAGGAGATTGACGGGCAGTCCCAGCTGTAAAGCGGTGCAGCTGCCTGTGTGATTCTTGACAAGACTTCGGGTAAATCGTTTGCAGCAATCTACGGTCAAGTTGGAAGGACTCCCCGCAAAACAAAAAAAACAGACAGGATTTCCTATGTCCATGAGATAGTTCCTTTTGTTTGTTGGGCCGAGGCACTACCAGGAAGCTGGATGAGTGTGGTGAGCGGAAAAGCGCCGCCAACATGAAGAACGGGTTCGGGGGGGGGGGGGAACGAGCAAAAACGTCAACATGAAGGTTTTCTTTTGAGGATTCCTTATTTCCATCTTCGTGATTTATAGTCATAGCAGTTTGCCCAGATGCATGAAGCAAGATTGTGAAAGCAAATAGGGTCTTTGCCCCCCACACACAAGAATCACTGCTAAACGTGACCCAGGTATTTGTTGTTCAGCCAGGCATTCTTCAGAGAAAGGGAAAGGTGAATTGCTCAGTGGTAGCATGGGACATGGTGCTTAAGGGTGCCAAGGTCGAGCAGTGGGCTCTGTTTGATCTTGCGCCTGTGAGGCCTTGTGTTGCGGCACAGTGTCCGTACTTGTTGCGCCAGGTCAAGGCTCAAGTGAGAGGATGGTAGATTCCAGCTTGTTCCTTCGCATGCCTGCATGACCGCAGCGGCCGTTATCGCACAGCGCGTGGCTGAATTCCGTGTCTCAGCTCGAAGCAGCAAAAGTTGGTTGGGCAGCGGTTTCTGCTTTCCTTGGGCTTGCCGCGTTTGGTTTGCAGAACTTGGCATGAGTGAGTGATGCATCTCCCAGATGGGCCATGCCTCAAACAAATCCACCGGACGTGTGGGCCCTGGTACCCCAAAGGCTTGGAAATGTGGGGTCCTCGCAATCGCATTCCTGAGTTTAACCTGGCAAGTGCCAGGGTTTCAACCCTGGTTCTCCTCCATCTTCTTTTTTCCCTGAGCGCGGCTCTTTGGGGCGGACAAGTTTTTGCCAAGCCGCCAATCACATCGGGTTCACCGTTTTTTTTTCGCAAAGTCCATTCCTCCCAAAATGCGAAGTTGGAGTTCGAACCAGGGGCTCGAAGCTTACCTTCAAAGGGAAACCAAAGAGGAGGATGAAACCAGGAGGGGTTTTCATGGTCAGGACTTGAATCAAGCCCATTGCCCCCTCCCGTTTGCACATGGGACGCACCAGGGTTTGTCAAAACAACAAGAAAAAACAAAGAACATCAACAGGAACAAATGGTGTTGCAATTTGATTCTCCTTTAAGATTGGGTGCCCTCAAAAACAAAGTTGACACCCGCCAAGTGGGCTGTTCCTTTCCTGTGCCGAGACAAAAAATCCCTCGCCACGTAGCGGTCGGATGCCGAGGTGATGAAGCAGAGACGCAGGCGCAGGAGCAGCGTGCTGCAACCGTCAAGGAGATCTTCGATCGACTAGACGCCCCTCGGCGGGATTCTTTTCTTGCGCCTTCTCGGGAGGGGTTTGTTGCACCCGCCTGGGGTGAAGCAGCCATTCAAGGCTCTTTGAATGTGATTGGCAACCCTGAGCACGTTGACCAGGAGGAATCCCAAAAAATTGCCCAATTCAGACTCTCTGCCGAGGTTTGTGCCGAGGTTGGTGCCGTGCGGCATTCCGGACTCAAATGATCCGACTGGCCACTTCTGGTACGGGCACGTGGGTTGCAACCCAAGTTCAGACCCCATCACCATAGAAGCAAGGCTTTCCATCAGAGAAACTGGACTAAGCAGCCCCAAAATCAGAAACCCTTCAAGCGGGGTTTTCGTTTTCTTTGAGGGCTGATGCAGTGGGCACACGAGGCGTTTCACAAGGGCAGAGAACTTGTTAGCTTGCCATGGCGTTTGCCCCCCCAAAGCCATGCAAGTCCCCAAGCAGGAAGGTGAACTACCATGTTGCTAACCAGAAGGCCGGTCCGTAACTCCTGAGTTTGCTTCCTCAAGACCAAAATTGGATGGTATCCCCTGGCTCCGAGCCGGGAGCCAAACCACCAACCAGGTCAAGACTGGCTGTTGTTGTTTTTTTTTTTCTCCCCAG